AATTTTTTGTGGTTTAAAAAAATAAAATTTATTTAATATTAATTGTTTGTGTTTCTAAAAAAATATAATTTCATTAAATTTCAAAAAGAAAAAAATAGAGTGGTAGGAATGCGTGTTACCACTTTATATGGAATGTTAAGAATTGGATGGGAGGTGAAAAACAAAGAAATAACGTGACACTAAAAAAATGATGTAGCGATAGTGTTACCATTTTTTCTAGCCTTAACATCGATTGTGAATTAATCAATAACTAGTTGTGAGACCTTTGTAATGTATGAGTTAATTTAAAAATATATATATATATATATATATATATATATATATATATATAAATGTTAAAATATTTAACAACTTTGAATTTATAAGAAAATAAAAAAATAATAAATTATTATAATAGAAATGTCTTTTATCTTTCAAATTTAAAGAAATAATTTAAATAAATAAAAGCAATTAATAAGCTTTAATTTTGAGAATTTTAAAATTAAAAGGTAAGTTCATTAATAAAATTGATATCAATTATTACTATATTTATTGTAATTATTATATTAAATATTATGTGAAATTTAATAAAATAGAAATCAAATGAAACGACATGTGGAAAAAAAAAATGGTTCAAAATAACCATAAAATGACATTTGATAAATTGAATGAAAATATGACAAGTGACAAAAAAAATAAAATAAATAAATAAACATTCATTTATTAGAGATGAATTTACCATGTGGAGAAGCTAAAACTAAACATCAAGAGTGGAAATCAAATATAATTGACGGAGGTTAGTGTTTTCAAATATATATTTTTTAATTTTTATATATATTCGTACTAGTTTATAACCCGTCGAAACCAGGGTTACAAAATTAATTTAATTTTGATAGCAAAAATTTATAATTATTAATCAATTATTTTAAATAAATAATTTTAAATAAATTATTAATTAAATGATATACCAAAATTTTAAAATTAGTTATAACTTCAAATTTAATATATAATAAAAAAAGTAAATGTTTTTATAAAAAGTTTAAAATTTATTATTTAAAACTTTAATCTCATTAGTTGTGATAGTGATTTACCTAATATATCTTATTGATTAGGGATGAGCAGAAATCGAACCGAAAACCAAAAACCGAAAAAAAGCCGACATAACCGAAACCGAAAAACCGAAACCAAAGCAATAACCGACGTTTTATGTTTGATATTTACAAAAACCGAAAAATAACGGTTTGGTTCGGTTTTGACGTATAAAACCGCCCATAAAAACCGAATCGACCCACATAAATATTATTTATATTATGATTTAAACTTTTAGTTTTAGACTTTAGACTTTATCTCTTTAATACTTTATGTTTATTTTGAACAAACTGTTAATGGTGTAAAGTTTTGATATTTTGACCACTTTTATACTTTTATAATACTGGAATTGTACTTTTTATTTTAGTATACTTAAAGTAGATACAATACTATTTATCGCAACATATTTTCACTAGGTTTGAACATAAAAACCAGAAAAATAAAGGAGCTCATAAACCCACGGTTTAAAACCGAAAACCCATAAACTCAACTTGAAAAACCGACCCATGCAAAAACTGAACCTATATAGGTTTAAAAACCGAAAAACCGACTTTCTACGGTTTGGTTTGGTTTTAACCAAAAACTGATCCAAACCGACCCATGCTCATTCCTATTATTGATACATGACATAATATTAATGTAAAGTTGTATTAAAGTGACACATGACAAAAAAAGATCTTTTATTTAGTATAGAGTTAAGTTGTGTATGTTTTTATAATTTTCCATTTTTACAAAATATTTGTTTAACAATTTCAGTTTCTAAAGTTTCCAAATACTGGTTTTCATATATCTATAATTGTAAAAAGATATAAACATTTGTTTGTAATGTATTCATTTTCATAAATAAAAAAAAAACACTCTTATATATAATTTAACATTATATTTTAAATTATATGTCGTACTTAAACTTTTAACGCTCTTCAACCTCTACTTTCAATTAATTTTGTAGCCCGTCTAAAATATCAATACTTTTGTTAAAAGTAATTGATTTGTGGATCATTATTGTATAGTTTTTTATATATAAATAAAAGTTTGTTGTATATTTGTTTTTATTCATATGGTTATATGAAAGATATATTAAGTTTATGTTTGAAATTGTGGTCAAACCAAAATTTTAAAATGATCGTTGCGATTTGTGCGTTTATTTGATGGGGCTCAATTTCGCATGGACTCGTCATTTCGACAAAAAGGGTCTCCACTCTCCCCGATCTCTTTTCATCACAACAACATCAACAACAACCCTAAAAACTATTACCAGATATCAAAATGTCAGACCATATACCTTTCCATATTCAAGCGGAGATCATGAAAAGGCTTCCTGTCAAATCACTTATTCGATTTACGTGCGTTTCAAAAGCATGGAAATCTTTGATCGAGAACTCCGAGTTTATTGCCAATCACATCTTCCGTCCACAGCATATGCTTGTAACCTTCAAAGATCAAAAAATTGTTTCTTTTGTCGACGAGGACACTTTCCCCGATCAGGGTCTAGTTCCGACTCTTCCCCGATCACTTCACCAGCATTCAAGAATAGTCGGTAGCTCTCAAGGCTTGTTGTGTTTCAACGCTTTTACTGATTCGAATCAACCTAATCTAGGATATATCAGCAGGACATATATGACTGTTATTTGGAATCCTTCTATTAGAAAATCGATTGTTCGCAATGTGTCTATTGAGTTATATGAAAACGATGAAACAATTCTTGGTTTTGGAGTTTGTCCTCTTACTTATGACCCTATGATCATGGTGATTACGCAGTTTCATAAGTGGCCTGTAAAAGTCGGATTCACTGGCCTTTGGGACGTGAAGGTTTATAGATTGAGCTCTGCAAAATGGAAAAGCTTATCTAGAAATCTTCCAAGTAAATCAGTTCGAGTTCAATGTCCTCAGGTGATTGTTGATAGGTTTATCTATTGGTGTGCAGAGCAGAGATTGACTATAGATAATGGGATACGCAGGTTTCATAATGTGGTTATGTCATTTGATATGACTAATGATAGTTTTAAAGTGGTAGACCTCCCAAAGAGTTTAGCATGCCACCCTCTAAAAGACTTGTCCATTTCTAAACTAAAGGAGTCTCTTGCCATTCTTGAATACAATATAAACACCGGAGTTTTTGATGTATGGATGATGGATGTTGAAAGATCGTTTGCAAAGATGTTCAACATTACGGCACCCCATGGATCAATAATGGGATTTTTGAAGAGTGGCGAACCTTTAATGGAAGTGAAAGTAGATGATGTTTTTGAACTTGTTGTTTATAAACCCTACACACGCTGCTTAGACCATTTCACTGATCTTGAGTTTTCTAGAACAAGTGATATGATGTCTGTGAACTCTTATGTGGAAACACTACTTTTCCTTGGTCGGTGTGATTGTAATGATTATTGACATAAATCGAGGATTCGAAACCAAATTTTGTAGCAGGCAATGGAGTCCATATTAGTTGAAGTTGATATATAATAAGGTAATTGGCCTATGTAATAAAGGAGCTTCAAAGTGTTGTTAGTGGTATGTGAGTTACCATTTTTGATAATAATTTAAATGCATTATATATATAAATTTATGACGTGTTAGCTCTTAGATCAATGTTTCTAACATTTTTTTTGGAGCAATATGCATAATTAATTATGTTTGGTTAGGCCTTGCGAAGGTCTCGTGGTGATTGGAGGAAAGAAACCACCATGCACACTACCTCAGAAGTCTCATGGTGATGACTTGGAGCCACGATCGTGGCCTCATGAGGTATATACCATGAAAGAACATACCCAATGATCTTTCTTTTTGTTCTCTGTTCCTCTTTCTTCATCGTTCCTTTATTTTCTTATTGTTGTGGATATACCATCACCATTCTAGAAGGAGATTGTGATGAGGTGGAAGTAGATGGGGGTTGAGGTGGAAGGAAACCACGACTATTGCCATGATATGCATACCCTTCGGCCTTAATGTTAGACATTTTCTTTGGTATTGTCATTCGTAGATTTTTAATTTATCCATTGTTTTTTTCACATGTAGATTTCTTCGAGCCTTTTCCATAAAAAGGTGTTTAATTTCCACTTGAAATAAGTATTTTCTTGTCTACATATGTTATAAAGTCGATTTATGTTTTTATGATTTAAGTACTACAAATGATCATGTGGAAAGATTTACTTCAGGCATTTAATTCTTATAATTTGGCAAACATGGAGATGAAAGGTGTTTAAGTTGAAATAAATAGGTTTTCTATTATCGTAAATATTCCTTTATGCTTCCATTCCTCCAAAAGGCTTCAAACTTGAGGATTCATCGAGGATTCTGTCCAAATGTTTATCTTCTCTTACATCAATCCTACCACTGATTACCTATTTTAGAATTGTCGGAATATGGTTTAAAGTTTATCTGGGTTATAACTTATATAGTTGCTAATGTATCATCTTAATTAAAAATTGGATGTGTTGATGCTTATTAAGATAATGCTAGCTCGCTGTATCTATGCGGGAGCATTATTATTTTAAAAGGGAGGACAATAACGAATTTATGGTGGTAGGATATTGATTTATTTGAGGTGCTATTACTAAATGCAACCCTCTTATATGTAGCATCCTAATTTTGACTCAAATTAATTTTTTTATTAATTAAATAATGGGAAAATGACACATACGACCTATAAATTTTTTAGGATTTACCATTTTAGTCACTTAACTTTTTAAGTGACTTTATGAGTGAACAAATTTTATTTTGTTGGGTCGATTACATCATTATTTCATTTATGAACGGGTTAGTCGGTCATATTTGTGTCATCTGTGTTACTTAAACCCCTTAGCTTGCTGACTGTGTATGTCATGTCATTTAATAATAGCTTTACTTAAACGAGATATTTTCCCATCAACTCTTCACCACTTCCATGTATTTCGATAAACTCTTACTTGCTTTTGTCTCCTCAAACCTCAAACATGGATCCCGTATTCATCCAAGTCGATGTGTATTTCCAAGGAATCTTCACAAAATACCCCATACACTACACCGGGGGGATTACAGAGATTGAGACAGGCCATTTGGATAAGGATGGTGATGAAGATGAAGATGAGGATGAGGATGAAGATGAGGATGACCATGGGGCTAAGGATGTCGATGCTGATGAAGATGAGGATGACCATAACAACCCCCATTTTTTCAAAAAGGATAATGGCCCTGATGTTGACATGGATGAGAATGCAGGTTTGGGTGACCCTTTGGAAGAAGCCATGTATGAAAATGAAGATGTTTATCCTAAGTTGCCAAATATTTTCAATGAAAAGATGCATTGGAAGGAGCAGGAACCTGTGTTAGGTATGAGGTTTGAGAGTCCTAAACAATTGAAACACATGCTCTGTAACTATGCTGTTGCAAATGGTTATCAAATATGTTTGGTGTAAAATAATAGTAGATGGTTTCTAGCTAAATGTTGTGATGGAAAATGTACATTTAGGGTTTAGGGTTCATGGATGAGTAATGATAAGTCTTTCCAAATCAAGTGTCTTATTAGTGACCATATTTGTTCAAAGAATTTCAAATTCTGATAAATTGTTATGTATAAATGGATGGGTACCCACTTTAGCCAACAATTTTTTAATAATCAAAAGATGAGTGTGAGATTACTTAAAGAGGAAGTGAAAACCACTTTTGGCATTGTTGTGAGTATGAGTCGGTGTAGGAGAGCCAAGAAGTATGCACTGAGTCTAGCTGAAGGCATGGTTGCATAAAATTATGCTAGAATATGGTCTTACGGTGAGGAGATTAAAAGATCAAATCCTAAATTCACTGTTAAAATTTATGTGGATGCAATGCCTGATGGTAAGAATTACTTCAGCAAGATTTACATATGCTTTGCTATAGTTAAAAAAGGGGTGGAGGGGAGGGTGTAGAAGGATCATTAACTTGGATGGTTGTTACCTAAAAAGTTTTTGCCAAGGTGAGTTGCTTTGTGTTATTGGTAGGGACGCTAACAATGGAATATTCCCAATTTCTTGGGCAGTTATATGTGTGGAAAACAAGAAGAATTGGAAATGGTTCATTGAAAATCTTTCTGAAGATTTGCAGTGATGGAATCAAGGGAGTGGTTTGGTTTTAATTTCTGATCAACACAAGGTATGTTTGTAAAATATTAAAATAGTATAATAAATATTTACATTTCTAACTTCGCCTATTCCTGGTACATATGTAGGGTTTGGTTGAGGCAGTCAAAGAAGTATTCCCAGCAACATAACATAGGCAGTATGCTAGGCATATATATGCCAATTTTAAAAAGAAGTTTAGTGGAGCCAAGTTTGAAAATTTGTTTTGGAGAGCAAAGAAGGCAACAACTGAAGCACATTTTAATATAGTCATGAAAGAGATTGAAAAGTTGAATCCTGAAGCCGTTAATCATCTTATAGATAGAGATCCAAAGACTTGGTCTCTAGCTTTTTTTAGAGTTCACAATTCATCTTGTGAACATGTGGAGAATGGCTTTTTAAAGAGCTTTAATAGTGTGATTTGGATGCTAGGAAGAAACCTATTATCAACATGTTAGAGGAAATTCATATATATGTGATGCAAAGGATGGTGACTATGAAACTAACATATCAAGAATGGAATCGTTATTCTGTGTGTCCAAACGCCAGCACCAAATTGAATATTCTCCAAAATGAGCAAAGGTTCGCACACTTATTTATTCATGCATACCATACCTCTCTCAACTCTAAACATTTACATTACATTATGTAGGCATTGGCAGGTTGTGTCTTGTGGGGGTATGATGTTTGAAACAAGGAAAATTGATGAGTCATACATTGTTGATGTCACAAAAAGGAATACATTTGCAGGTTATGGCAACTAAATGGGTATGGTTATGTTCATTCAGTAGCTACATTAACATATTTAAACATCACACCTGATGGACCATATGTAGACCCATTATACCTGGGAGCCTTCTTCCATAATACCTACAAACAATCCATTAGTCGCATGAATGAGATGAACATGTGGCATTCTACAAACTTTTTACCTCCATTGCCTCCATTAAAAAGGAGAATACTAGGCAGGCCAACCATGAAAGGAATAAGGGATGCTTCTGAAAGGTCAAGAAAACACATGGTTTCAAAGGAAGGGAAAAATGTTTCTTGTGGCATATGCAAAAAGGAAGGGCACAACAAGACCACATGCACTCAAGTGCCAACGCCACCTAAAACTAATGTCACAAAGAAACAAAAGATCATGCAAACACAAGAGTCAGTGAATATGCAAGGGGGTGGAGAAGATGTTGTTATGGGTGATGCAGTTGAGCCACAAGCTGAGGAAGTTATGAGGGTAAACGAATCTGAGCAAGTGGTGAGGGTTAATGAAGATGAGAAACTGGGTAGGATTAATCAAGTTGTTGGGCATGTGTATACTACAGGTCAACCAAGCAAGAGGAAAAAGTCTGAGAGAAATCTTAAACTAAATCTTTCTAAAGGAGTTGAAGGTGAAGTTAGTAGTGTTAGATCGCCAATGGAGTTAGATTAATTACATTTTTAATTGTATGTCTGTTATGTGGATTGAACAATGGATTTTATGTTTTTTATGCTCATGTATGTTATACTAATCTTAAGATTTGATATTTGGATTCGTGTATGTATTTACAATATGTATGATCTTATTTATATTAGTGTGTACCAATACTTTAGTCATTACAAATATTTCAACAAGGCATGCTAATGTTAGTTTAGGGGTACTTTAGTCATTTGAATCAGTTAATCCAATAGGCGTATGTTATTGCAAGTAATTAATAAAGTAAGGGTATTTTAGTAAATCAAATAAGTTAGATTAATTACAGTATGTTAGGGGTATTAGTGTCATTTTAATTATTTAAACAAATAGGGGTATTTCAGTCATTATTTTTAATGTGACTTCACCCATCAGGGGTATTTCAGTCAATATTTTTATATGACTTAACCCATTAGGGGTATTTTAGTCATTACTTTTTTATTTGACTTAACCCATTAGGAGTATATCATTTCTTCCAGGCATTTATCGAAGTAGGCAACCACAAAAACAACAAAAAAGAACTTTTCCATTGTTTTCCATTTCTGGGTTATAGGCAAGGAAAAAATTTGGGTATTACATGCCTCGTGTATTAGATTCTTCTTTTTTATCCCATGTCCCCAACAGAAACATTGGGGCTCATGTGTTAATGGTTTAAAAAGTTTGAATTTGTTATGTGGTCCCAAGAAGAACATCAACAAAAAATTTGGGTATTACTTCATGACACATGCACATTTAGATTTATAACAATAACATTTTAACTTAACCAACATTTCATTCATGGGTTTCTATTACATCTTTACATCTATTACACAAGTTAAAATAATATTTCTACCTACATCTTACTACATAAGAATACCATCACCTGTGATTACCATCAAAAAACTGATCATCACAACAACATGATCACAAAAACACCAAGCACAACCACCAAATACTATCACTAGAAACTAAAAGACAAGGAATAAAGCGCCTTACTAATAAGGAGAATAAACCAGATACACATCAAAACAAAATAGAAACCCAGGATAGAAATGTTATGACCTAAAGTTCTTCTGTCATTTTAAGAACTTGTAGGTTAACACCCCCACAACAACAACAACAAAAACCCCAAGAACCCATTTGACTTTGTTGCACTTGTTTTTACCCAAGAAGATGTTGACATATGATGCTTTTATTGAACACAAATGCTTCTTTAAATCAGCAACCATGTTAGATATATCGAGCTGGCCTGCCCTAACATCATCGAATTTATGGTTTAGGGCATCCAAGTCTCTAGTGATGTTGCGTCATAGTTCATCAAGGTCGTTTGCAATCTCTTCCCTCACAAGCGGCACCTGCAACTGTGTCTACAATAGATTAATCACCATGTCTTCATTGGTGACTTCATTGGAGACATTTTCAACCACGTGTCAACTATAGTTGGGTGACCAACTGTGATTTGGAGATGATCGTGAAGGCATGGTTTTTGCGATTGGTATTGAAGTTTAGGGTGTAGTCAGGGTAACCTGGTTTCGAATTGTGCCAGTTTAGGGCATAATCTTCAACTTTTATACAGACGTGGGTGCGGAGGGGGGGGGGGGGGGGAACAATGTGAACATGGCCTCTAGGTTTCACAATCCAAAATGACGTCGTTTGGGTCATTGGACGTAAGACAATTTGGTCATGTCAATGATGATGTGTCAAATTGAGATGATGTGGCATGGTTACCGGCTATAATAAGTAAAAGGGACTAAATTGTTAGGTTGCAACACACTTCGTTCCCTCATAAATCCACTTAAAATGTTAAGTGACTAAAAGGGTAAACCCTAGAAATTTCATAGGGCGTATGTGTCATTTTTATAGAGGGTTCAAATAAATTAATAAAATAATAATAAAAAAAACATTTACAAATGAAATAGGAAGATAGTGTTAGCTTATAGTTAAAAATTTAGAATGAGGGACTAAAAGTATCATTTCATCAAAGATAGATTTCACCTTGTTTTGACTTAGTTTAGTGATCGAAATTGTCAAAATTTAGCTACTTGGGGTGATTCTAGCTTGTGAAGAAACTATTTAGATAGTTGGTGACTAGTTTTAGTCAATATGAAATAAATGAGGGTTCATGGGTTTAAGTTGCCAATAGTTAAAAGTTTAGAACAAAGCTCTTTCTTTCCCTATTTGAATTAAGGATCGATAGTGAGAGCTTGAGAGCAAGAGGAATGACAATTTTGTGATCATAAAATAGATTTGAAAGAGAACTTGAAGACAATAGAATAGTTTAAGTTAGGAGGCATTGCTTGAAAGCTTAAAATGTATAGTTTTTCATTGTTCTTCGTTAGAAATTGATTAAGGGTATGGAGAATTCCTCCAAATCCAAAATTTCTAGTGAAGTTCTCAAATGATTTTCTACTTTCTATTCAATAATTTATTCTTTAATATACACTTAGTTACTCTTGTATTGCTTGGTTTGGAAGATTGGGTGTGAATTTGAAGCTTTAAATCCTAACTATGATGAATTTTAGTTTGAGATTCATTTATGAATTTGAATATTAGATTACTTTCATTACAAGCTTTCTAACTCGTCTCTATATAGATAATTCATCATAGATATAACTTTTGCATATATTTATCCAATTTAAGTTTGTAAGGTGTCTGGGAGCTTTGATGGGGATTTAAGTTGAGTTATTACCTGATTTCTTATTTAAATTGTTTTAAATTCATGAAATGTCACCTATCTAGCTTATAATTTCTATTTAATTGAATATGTTTATGAATTGAGGTTATAACTCATTTGTAAGTTGGAATGGTTTATATTGTCATAAACAAACTTTTAGAGTTCTAAATTATAGGATCATCACATTTGAATCATATATCATTATGTAATTATGTTTCAAAAGGATTAAAACATCTTTACTTTTTTATTTAATCCATTAGAGTAATTTAGAGAAACATAAATGAATCTATTAGGTCAAATGAAGCGTATGTCTTAAATTAGAAGTTTGATGTCTTCATGTGTGCTTAATCAATATTTTGAAGCACTATGTAATGCCCTGTTCCAAATGGTTTTCCTAATTTGGGACTGTGGCCCAAGGAAAGGTTATCATAAGGCTTAGGGCCTTTGGAGAAGAGAGATCCCGACCTATTATGTACGGATAATGTAGTTGAGGTGATACAGGAGTTGGATTGTGTCTTGGAGCCAAAGGGTATATAGTTAAAGTGGCAGTTCGAGCTCTTTATGGGTTTTGGGTTTTATTCGGAAGGCTTTAAGGATTGGGCATGTTGTTAAGAGAGTAGGGATGCTCGACACCTTTTCATGGATATAAGGTTCATCGGAAACGGACCTCAGATCAGGAAGATATGACACTTTGAAGTTATTGGCAATATTGGTTACTAATGGAGAAAAGTGACAAGAAGATACCATGCATGCAAGGTGGCCAGCGCGAAAGTACGCCCAACGTAAGTTGGGGGTACGCCCAACGTAGAGAAGTAAATGAACACGGATGTTAGAAGCGTACGCCCAACGTATGTTTAGAGTCCCTAAACCCTAATTTTTAGGATTAAGCACTATATAAAGAACATTATGACTCAAACCCTAGCCTCCTTATCAGCCTCTCAACCTTAGAAACCCAAGACGACCTCTCATTCTCCATTATTGTGTGTTTTTGGCTTTCTGAAGTTCTTGGTGGTGTTTAGAGGCTTGAAAGAAGAAAGGACTAGTTGAAGCATAAGAACTTATGTATCTTGAGCTCAAGGATTCGAGATTATTCCACCTTTTGGCGCTCATTTGAGGTAAAAGCTTCCATCTTGCCTCATGAATGCTTATATCTTTGTTTATGGAGTTTTGGACCTCTTTAGGTCCTAATTGGACCCACATTCATTAAACTACAACATTTTGGGCCATAAGACTTTTTACGGGGCTTATTGGACCTTAAATGTCTCACTTTGTTTCATGGGCCTTATTGGGCCGTATACCCATAAAGAGAGCCCAATGGGCCAAAAACATTCATATTGGGCCTATAATTTCAATAATATTCAATATAAGCCCAAAACACTCTCTTCTTTTCCCTCTCATCTCTAATTCTCGGTTAAAAAAAAAGAAACATGGGTTATATGAATTAGTGACACCTCAATATTACCTAACGTACATCTATGCACAAAACACAACATTTATCTATGCAATATCATGTTTCCATGCAACATTTTGTCTCTCTCCTCTCTTCTCTCTTCTTACTCATGGCCAAGACCTCTTTCCCCACCATTCATCACTTCAAAATTCATCAAACACTCTCTTATGTTCCCTCTCAAACAGAAGAAGATCTCATTCATCCATCTCTTGCAATTTTCTTGATCTTGTGGTGATACCAAGAGTCTTACATCAAATATCATCTACTTACTCTCTAGAACCATCAAGATTCGAAAACCTCCTCAAGAGGTTAGATAAGGCTGACATCTCCTTCTTCACTTCTTCAAAAACCGATCCATCAACCCAATGTGAGTTCATACCCCCTATTTTCGGCTTTTACTATGTTTTGGGGGAGAATACAAGTTGTTTTGTGTAGACCTATGTGTATATGCATGATTATGTGTGTTTTTCTTGATATATGTTGTAATTATGTGTTGTAACTTCATAAACTCGAAAATATGCTAAAATATAATGATATTTGTAGACCATAACACTTAATACAACTTATTATGCAAAGAAAAGGTTTAACACATTACAAGGTTGTTTAAAACTAAGAAAACCGCATAAGAGGGCCAAAAATGACAAAATAATCAAAAAGTGAAGTTAATATATAACTCACGGTTTTGAAGGGACCAAAAAGGATTTATTTTGAGTAAATATGGATCTTTATGGTATTTATGATTTTAAAATGGCTAAAAGTGTAAAGTTTCACAAATGGGCCTCATATTGGGCTTTCACATTTTTTGGGCTAAGTTTGTAAATTTTTGGTCTTTTGTAGGCTTGAGTTTCATGTTTTACAAATTTAAGCCAAAAAATGTTATTTTTCGGATTTATGGGCTGAAAATGACAATTTTATTAAACTTGGGCTGGAAATATAATTTATAAGCATTTTAGGCAGTAAATTTTCATAAAATTAGGCCGAAAATGTTATTCTTGAAAAAAGTTGTCTTAAAAAGTTATTTTATTTGATATAAGCCCTTAAAGGTAAACTTTTGCTTTAAGGAACCTAAAGTGTCATTTTGCCAAAAATGTGCCTTAATTGTAAATTTTGGGTTTTACGGACCAAAATTGTCTTTTTACAAAAAGTGGGCATTTTATGTCATTTTGGTAAACAATTGAGCTTAAATGATCAACGTAATAACAAACAGAACAAATAGGCCACTTACACTTTTATTTGGGCCTTAGTGGCCCATTTTCATGTTTAAGTGGGCGTGGAACACAAACTGCATGTCTATTGGGCCCTTGTGATTCAATTACATGTTTATTGGGCCTGGAATATACATTACATGTTGTTTAGGCCTTTGTGGCCCATTTACATACTTTTTGGGCCTAATAAACTAAAAACATATACGGAAACAATATACACTGTGTGATTCAATATTCGAGTAAATCCAGTTAAGGCTCTTGTGAGGCTTTTCATTTGACACGTATCGAGTGTACAACCATAGCCTGTAGTTATAACCAGAGTCTCCTGGAAGGAGAGTGAGAGTTTGTGTATAGATCTATACGGGGTTGACACCCTATGCCTGAGTTGTTCACTACAGTTAGACTAGGCCAATCTAGGGTGACAAACCTTACTTTAAACAAGTTGGCACCTGAAAAACATCATGACAGGCAGATCAGTCATTATCAAGTATGGTTATAACGACTCACATAGAGAATAACTCCATTATAATTTACGGAATACATATACCATTTTGATGATACAAAAACATACATTCACTGACACTCGATCTTAGGGTTTTAAGACCAGAACATTTTTTTAAAGACATACAATATCGGATTTTCTGCGAAAACATACAAATATACAAAACCTTCTACTTACAACAGAATACATAGGAATTTCGGGAATACTCACTTTATACATTTTCAAACCAAAACACACATGCATTAATACAAGGTTGGACACCAAACTTTCAAACCATTTTACAGAAAATATCGGATTTTCTGGTATTTACAAAGGAATACAAAACTTTTCATTCAAACATGCTTATGAACTCACCAACATTATATATGTTGACGTTTCCCAAATAACTTGTATTCTCAGGAAATCGTTAAGCAGGTGGACATCAAGAATATGTGGAAATTTGTGGCATTTCGTTGCTATGATAAACGTTTATATTTTGGGATGTATCTCTTGTAAACAATTACAATATTGTAAAGTCAGTATTGTTGTATTATGGTTCGTGTGATGATGATGCTTGCTTGTTTCTATTATATTCATTGTGATGATATTACAAGATGAAGTCACTTCAATCCCCGGACGTTTCTGCCGTCTTGTTCGGGGGTGTGATAGATTGGTATCAGAGCAATGTTTATAGTGAGCTGGCAAATCTAATCATACAAGATATGCAACTATAAATACATCGGGACTAAAATACTCTGAACAAAATAAAATCCATACCTATGTGTGCACTTTAGGGAGTTGTCACAACACGAAACAATAAAAGTCTTTTGGAGGATTTGAACATCGCGGTTAAACCCAGGCAGTTATGTGGTCGTATTGGGGATATATAGAGCCTGATCAACTATATTTATTCGAAATACGACCAACATCTGTTCGGTAGTGGTTGTAGTGGTCAATGAATCAAAAACTTACAATCTAATTATCCAAAATATATTAAGAAACCAAACCTAAACAATTAATATACTGTAAGAATATTTCACGGGTATCCTTCTTATTCATCTCTCACACCTCCCTTCTCGTACAGACTCCATGGATCAATTTCAGCAAGGAGATCTCTACTATCAGGCCTTGGTGGCCGATGGATGAATAGAAGAAGTAGGCTTGGAAGAATATCACGAAACGGACTATGAGGTGGGAGAATCCAATAAGGAGTCAGATGAGGAAGAATGCATTAGAGAAATACCTATGGGACCCTATCCTCCGGAAGCAATACCAGCTCAACACACAATTCAGGAAGATTCCACCGACCGACTACACCTCTTGGAGGAGGAGGTAGCCACCCTTAGGCAGCAACTCTTCGCGACTGAAGCTAGAGCTGTACAAGAAGAACAGAGAAATGAAGAGATCACTTGGGAGATGATTGATTTGGCTAACCTTGTGGCGCGATATTTTGGCATCTGAGCACTACCACCAGATGCATCCATCCATGATTAGGATTAGCTCCACCCCACCACTATTTGACATGATTTTCTTTAGTGTACTAAGATGGTTATTACTAGTAAAACAATTATGTGTTTATCGTGATGTTGTTATCTGCTATGTGTTCTATTTTTCCTTATTTCATGTTGCTATATGAATTCACTTATATGCATAACCGAACCACCAAAATCGCTAGCTACTCAAGGATCTCAAAACAATCTATGGATAGATTTAGCATTCGTGCAAGATCTACCGCTACTTATCACATCTTAGGGATGTAGGTTGAAACAATGAGAATCATACAACAAAACACAAAGTGACCATCGTTACTTACGATCTTGCTTATCATCATGCAGCAGAAAAATGTCATCCCACAGAAATAAAAAGCACACCAGTGAGACACCAATCCTACAAATAAATTCCGCTACATTCCAAGTTGCCTTAACAGCTCCTATAACCAGTGTCATGGAGCAACTCAACGCAAACAACAACAATAGAGATGGAAATAGTATCGACTATGACATCCCCATTTTCACGGCTAGAAAAGACCAATTTTGTTTATGCTTTACAAAAATAAGAGTACCTCTTTTTAATAAAAATGTTGCGGAATTTGTTCTCAGTAAAACATGATAAATACGTTATCAAGGCATTTCTGAATAAAAGTATTTTTATTCATTTTAAAACATTTGGGATGTCATCATCAATACAGAAACATAAGCATAAACAGAACTTACATTCATTATCACTAGTGATTTATATCTCCTTAATCTCTCAGTGTAATGTGACTTCATATCAACACATCTGATATAAATAAACTGAGTGGGTTAGGTTGGGAAACCTGGTGAGGACATAGGGTTTTCAACACACAATAATATAATTATTATGTTTAATCTTCAAACAATTAATCAACCCAATTACCCATCCCCATTATCTTCTTTTATCTTATGGATCAACCCTAAAAATCAGTTATTCCTCGTTCATTTATTCCTAAGGATTATCCTAAGGAATTGGCATGAAGTCCATCATCACCGGGTTTAGGCACTAAGTATGCATAGTCTCCAGGGTTTATACAACAAGTACTAAGTCCGCATAGTAGCCAAGGTTTAGCTACTGAGTCTGCATAGTCACTAGGGTTTAGGCATCAAGTCTGCATGATCGCCAATGTTCAGGCACTATGTTTGCATAGTCGCCAAGGTTTAGAGTACATCGGGTGAACACATGGTTCACAACACCTATAGGTTGCAAGCCTGCTAGTGTTCCACTGGACTATCTAGAATAGTATTTGGTTGTCATCCATACTCTGCTAGATGACAGGTCCATCATTTGCGTAAAAGGCTTCTCTCATTGTTCACCTCTCACCCTTATCTCATGGTCTATATCACCTCTCATCTCATCATCCGACTCATATTTCATCTACCCATGTTTTACCCAACATATTTTGTAGATATAAAATACATATACAGTTTAATTCATTTGAAGCATGTATAAAATCGTTCATCTAGTATAGACAACAAATATTCAGATAATATAAATAAATAGCACGTAATTTATATAAAATACTTTGTATCTATGTGCAAGATGAAAGGGACCATGTACTCACTTGATAAGGTGGTGACGCGGTTCTCGGATAGCACTTCGTTTACTTTAAAACAATTTCCTTCGACAAAACCTAATACCATTACCACTAGAGTTTATTCTAACGTTTTACCGAGACTAATTAATAGTCTAGCTATTATTACTATTATATAAGCGTTAAACAATACTCTTCATCCACTATGTACAGATAGGGTCCAGACATGAAACACCGGAGGGCAGGATCATTTTGGCATATAACACTTCTAATCCAACAACCCAAGCAGCCCTCCAAACCAGATTCCCCGTACCACGAGTGGTTAAAAAGATATTACAAAAACACTTATATAACCCATAATAATAGCCCAAATAATTACCATAAGGTCCTAATAACATTACTATAATTAAGTAAAAGCTATATTAAAAATAGCGTAAGTGTAGCTCACTTACAGTGGGTCTTCTCGAAAAGCAGGCTTCGCTTAGAGCAACATTTCCGAACCGAAAGACCTTTTTTCTCGGGACTCCAGGAGCCTCATGGATTCCTTTGGGTGCTAGGGGTTTACCTAGGCATAGGGGGTTAGGGGGGTTAGAGATAGAAAATAGAGAGAGAAACAGAGGGTGAAAGGTGTGAGAAATATGAAGGATTCACGTTATTTATAAGGGTTTTATCGTAGAGTAGTCTCTAAGCTTCGTCCGTATCTTCCATGTACGATCTATGTTTTATACGTTATTTATATCCATGCATTTGTATTTACAAGTACTATAACTTTCATTTAGATCCCGTCGGCTAATTCTCATTGTAGCTCAGATTTACAAAACTGTATCGAATTCGCCGCACTTGAAGAGTAGAGACTAACTTTCGTCCATATCTTTCTCATACGAGCTCTATTCTCGACATTATTTATATCCACGCATTGGTATCTATGAGTACTAGACCTCGTTGACCAATTCTTATTCTATCTCAGATTTACAAATCTGCGTCGAATTCGCCGCGCTTGAAGAGTAGAGACTAAACTTCGTCCATATCTTTTGTATACGAGCTCCGTTTTTGACTCTCTTTTTATCGTTTAACTCCTATTAACGATATATTAATTTCTCATTTAAATTATTTTGGCTAATAATTGATCGATCTAAAATTCGAATTTTAGGCTGTTTACTGTTATGTTAAATCTTAGAAAAATCATAACTTCCTCATACGAAGTCAAATTTCGACGTTCTTTTTATGCACACTCTCGGTTTAACATATACTATGAATTTATTTTAGATCGCTAAGGCTAGAAGGTATTTTATCGTAAATTCACTTTTTACGATTCCCAGTGTCATGCCGATTTTGCCGTAAAACTTCGACGCGTCATAACTTCTTCGTTATAACTCGGATTTCAGCGTTCTCTATATGTACGTAACCCTTGTGACATATACTATAACTTGGTTACGATTATTTATTCTAAATAATCTTCTATTAAAAAGTCATTTTTTATGTTTATTGTCTCTAAATTAACTAGCCTGAATCTGCAGGCATTACAATTATCTCCCCCTTAGTATGATTACGTCCCATAATCATCAACGAAACAGGGCTGTATAATGATTTCATACGTTATCTCTTCATCCTAGCCTAGGTAATGAGTATCTGGCTCTTGTACTTCTTGACTGCAGGCGGTGCTTGATCTTGCACCTACACTCTGTCTCGTATCATGATTTCAATCATGACCTTCCTGTCACAATCTCAACCCTTATTGGACACTCTTTCTTCTTCTTAACAACTTAAGATAAGTTCCTTCCTTTGATTTTCATAATAGACCGATGGGTCACGTTCTATGACCTCTCATCGTATGATGCAATGTTCAGACTCAGGTCGTTCGGACTCATGCTCTGATACCAATTGTGACATCCCCATTTTCACGACCAGAAAAGGCCGATTTTATTTATGCTTTATAAAAATCAGAGTACCTCTTTTAATAAAAATATTGTGAAATTTGTTCCTAGTAAAACATGATAAACATGTTATCAAGGAATTTCCGAAGAAAAGTATTCTTATTCATTTTAAAACATTTGACATTTCATCGTTAATACAGAAACATAAGCATAAACAGAACTTACATTCAGTATCATAGTGATTTATATCTCCTTAATCTCTCAGTGTAATGTGACTTCATATCAACACCTGTGATATAAAGAAACTGAGTGGGTCAGGTTGGGAAACCTGGTGAGTACATAGGGTTTTCAACCCAAAATAATATATTTGTTATGTTTAATCCTCAAACAATTAATCAACCCAATAACCCATCCCCATTATCTTCTTTACTCTTAAGGATCTACCCTAAAAATCAGCTATTCCTCGTTCATTTATTCCTAAGGATTATCCTAAGGAATTGGCATGAAGTACATCGCCAACAGGTTTAGGCACTAAGTGTGCATAGTCTCTAGGGTTTATACAACAGGCACTAAGTCCGCATAGTCGCCAAGGTTTAGCTACTAAGTCTGCATAGTCACCAGGGTTTAGTCATAAAGTCTAATTGATCGCCAAGGTTTAGGCACTAAGTTTGCATAGTCGCCAAGGTTTAGAGTACACTAGGTGAACACATCGTTCATAAAACCTATAGGTTGCGAGCCTGTTAGTGTTTCACTGGACTGTCTAGAATAGTATGTGGTTGTCATCCATACTCTGCTAGATGACGGGTCCATCATTTGGGTAAAAGGCTTCTCTCATTGTTCACCTCTCACCCTTATAACATGGTCTATATCACCTCTCATCTCATCATCCGACTCATATTTCATCTACCCATGTTTTACCCAACATATTTTGTAGATATAAAATACATATACAATTTAATTCCTTTGAAGCATGTATAAAATCGTTCATCCAGCATAGACAACAAGTATTCAGATAATAGGCACACATAGCACGTAATTTATATAAAATACTTCGTATCTATGTGTAAGATGAAAGGGACCATGCACTCACCTGATAAGTTGGTGATGCGGTTCTCGGACAGAACTTCATTTAATTTAAAACATTTTCCTTTGACAAAACCTAGTACCATTACCACTAGAGTTTAGCCTAACGTTTTACCGAGGCTAATTAATAGTCTAGATATTATTACTATTATATAAGCGTTAAAAAATACTCTTCACCCACTATGTATAGATAGGGTCCAGACATGAAACACCAGAGGGCAGGATCATTTTGGCATATAACACTTCTAAACCTAGTAACCCAAGCAGCCCTTCAAACTAGATTCCCCGTACTGCGAGTGGTTAAAAAGATATTAGAAAAACACTTATATAACCCATAATAATAGCCCAGATAATTACCATAAGATCCTAATAACGTTACTATAATTAATTAAAAGCTATATTAAAAATACCGTAGGCGTAGCTTATGTAAAGCGGTTTTTCTCGAAAATCGGGCT